GTGTCTATAGTATAACCTATTATATTGAGAAAAATAGGTTTGACCCAGCTGCCTCTCAGTCATAAGGTTGATCAGTCCTTCTGACATTTAGAGCAAAGTCCCCATCAATTCAATATAATTAGGTATTTCAGAGTAACTGTTACTTATAAATACATGTTGGGTCCTATAGCCCCATAACAAAATAGGTTTGACCCAGCTGCCTCTCAGTCATAAGGTTGATCAGTCCTTCTGACATTTAGAGCAAAGTCCCCATCAATTCAATATAATTAGGTATTTCAGAGTAACTGTTACTTATAGATACATGTTGGGTCCTATAGCCCCTACTTATTTGTCCAGTTAGCACAGTACAGGTCCTCCATCACAAATCCGGCATCATTGGGACCTGTAGTGTGCCGGATTACTGAGTTGGCCGAATTACAGAGTGGTTAAGTTAGAATACGCTTAATAAAATTAACCAACTTGACTTACACAGTTCATTGAACATCAGCAAAAATCGAACATTTCTGCTACTTTGAGCTCAATTTCAAGGTACTTTTCATCATGAAAGCAATCAAAATCATGTCTTTCTGTAGTATATCTTCCATTCTATCAAATGAGTCCAAAAAATGAGAATACAACCATAAAAACCATACGAAAATATACTGCAAAGAGGCGGCTAATGGCTGAAAAGTGAACTCCCTTATTTATCGTCCATCTTTTTTATTTTTGTTGTACGTTAAGAAGCATCTTTCCATCATACATTGCCCAAGTTTCAATGAGATAGCCCAACAAACAACCGAGAAAAAAATATTTACCAAAAATCATGTATGGCAAGCCCAAGCCAGGTACTGGAAATAAGTCACTTTGTCTGACTTTTCTGGGTTATCCCAGGTTCTCTATACATACACTGCTATGTATGATAATCTATGTAACTGTATTTGTGTATACAGTGGACCCCCGCATAGCGACTTTAATCCGTGCAAGAGGGCTCATTGTTATGCGAAATGATCGGTATGCGAATGAATTTTCCCCATAAGAAATAATGGAAATCAAATTAATCCGTGCAAGACACCCAAAAGTATGAAAAAAAAATTTTACCACATGAAATATACATTTTCCTACACACAAAGAGAAGGATACATGCACAATAGTAGAGTAGTACATGCACAATATATATTGTGCATGTACTACTCTACTAAATGAAGAATAAATGACACTTACCTTTATTGAAGATGCAGCAATGACTGATGAGACACTGTGTCCTGGGAGTGCCTTTTCCTCCTGAGTACTGTAGGTCCTGTTTGGCATTTTCTTCCAGAACAGGCCTTATCACACTGTATGCCACTACGATTCTTAAATCTCTCAAACCAACCTTTGCTGGCTTTAAATTCACCAATATGAGCACTAGTTCCAGGCATTTTTCCCTGTTCACCTGGGTGTTAGTCGACTGGTGTGGGTTGCATCCTGGGAGACAAGATTAAGGACCCCAATGGAAATAAGTTAGACAGTCTTCGATGACACTGACTTTTTTGGGTTATCCTGGGTGGCAAATCCTCTGGGGTTAATTGTTTCTTGGTATTCTCAAAAAGCCACATCAGCAACGGTGCTACAGCAGCAGCAGCAGCTGACAGTGCTACAGCAGCAGCAGACGATGCTACAGCAGCAGCAGACGGTACTACAGCAGCAGCTGACGGTGGTACAGCAGCAGCAGCAGCTGACAGTGCTACAGCAGCAGCTGACGTGGTACAACAGCAGCAGCAGCTGACGGTGCTACAGCAGCAGCAGCAGCTGACAGTGCAGCAGCAGCAGCAGCAGCAGCAGCTGACAGTGGTACAGCAGCAGCAGCAGCTGTACCACCAATAGTAGCGATGGTTGTTTGGGGTTTATTATACAACCTGGCCAGCTCAGAGACACACACTCCACTTTCATACTTATCAATGATCTTTTTCTAGATCTCTATAGTAATTCTCACCCTTATTGCTGAAGGGTTGGCACTAGAAGCTTTCTTGGGGCCCATGGTCACTTATTTTGCAGATAAAATCACCAAAAACACTGTAATAATACGAAATGTTCCGATTGTATGCTTGGATGTTACCGCGGAGGCTGGCTGGTAAACAATGCCACCGGCGGCACATGTGAGGCTGGCTAAGGGCGCACATTGGACGCGTCTCCGACGAACAGCGGTGAGCAGGTTTTTGAGTGGTATGCGAGGCAAAATTTTTGCGATAAAAGCGAGCGGTATGCGGATTAAACGTTATGTGATGCCGACGGTATGCGGGGGTCCACTGTACCTGAATAAACTTATTTACTTCTAGTCTGTCAACTGAGTACAAGAAACCGCCCATTCACTTATTTCAACTACCCAATAAAGAGGTCAGAAATTGGCAATTTGGCCAATTTTACACAAATTTCAACAGATGCCAATTTCAAAATAGGGTCCAGAATAAACAATGCAGACATTCCTGGCACTAAAATAACATTTTCTCTGTTCATTAGTCATGGCTCCAGGCCCCTCTTATATTACTCTTGCTTACCATTTGGAATTTTTATTCACAAAAAAAAATAAAAGATTTACTGTTATGCAGACTACTGCATTATTGTAATTGTATAAATAATGTCAATCCATTCTTGACTCTGTCCTGGAATTTAGACTGGCAGGCGGACAGGTATTGGACGGTGACGTCATTTGTTTACTCTTGAGCTTTGCTAAAGAATAGAACATTTTCGCTACTGTGAGCTCAATTTCAAGGTACTTTTCGTCATGAAAGCAATCAAAATCATATCTATTTCTGTAATATATCTTTCATTCTATCAAATGAGACTGAAAAAATGAGAATATAACCATAACAACCATACAAAAATATACCACTAAGCGGCCGCTAATGGCTGAAAAGTGAACTCCGCTATTTATGGTCTGATTTCTTTCATTTTTGGTGTACGTGAAGAAGTATCTTTCCATCATACATTGCCCAAGTTTGAATAAGATAACCCAACAAACAACTGAGAAAATAATAATAATAACAGTAATAATAATAATAATATCTTTATTTACTACGCGTACATGTACAAGGTATACAGGCCTAGCTGACATCAGTGACATACTACTGTATAGAAAGCCACTTGTTATGCTGAGTATTTCAAGAAAATTAGGTCAGTGTCCCAGGATAACACCCAGATACCCGTTTACTGATGGGTAAACATAGACAACAGGTTTAAAGAAACACGCCTAATGTTTCTACCCTGGCTGGGAATCGAATATTTACCAAAAATCATATATGGCTAATCCAAGCTAGGTACTAAAAATAAGTCACGTTGAATTTTTTGGGGTTAGCCTAGGTTCTCTACACATATGCTGCTATGTGTGATAATCTTTGAGAGAAAATAACTTTGTTTCATGTTTATGGTGGAGTACGAGTGTATATCATAGTTAACCCTGTGCTATACTCCGTTTTCTCTAATATAAGCCACCAAGACAAGGATAGGAGAATGGTATTTGTTTACCATATCCTCTTCATAACTCTGTCGAACTGCTCGGTGTTATGCCAAATATTATTCATTCTGGAGTATTTAACATGTTTTATGTTATTTATATTGTTTATTATGTCATATTAGATCAATTGTTGATATTAGCGTAATAATAAAGCATATTCTCCTGCTTCATGAGACTGAGCTCATGGCAACCAACAGTGGCTTCAAAGCCACCTTATCTTTAATGGATAATGTACTGTGTAGGTGCTTTACATAATGAGAAGCATTTCTTTTATTCATTGGAACCATGGCTAGGGCTAAAAGTAAGCAGGTTAAAACAATAAATGGAGAAAAAGAAATTGGAATGACTTATGTAGCAAGTAGCGCCACCAAACAGTACCAGCAGGTTGGTGTGGCGACCCTGGAAATTTGAAATTATGCTAGCCAAAATTAGTGCTGAATAACTGAAGGAACCGAATAACTGATTGCCGGATTTGTGATGGCGGACCAGTATGATGCTGCCTTTTACCCCAGGCATGGGGTAAAAGGCCCCTTTAGTGTTTTTAAAGCAACTTAAGTTTTCTACATTATAAATGCACAGTAGAGAGATGTAACTCTCAGAGAGGAGAGTGAATTAGCTCTGCTTTCTACTAAAACCTACAGATCAGTATTCTAAATATTGTAGATACAGCATGCATTTTACCTTAAGGGGCTCCTTGATGCTGGTGAGGGGCTCTTGATCTAAGGAATTAGATCTGTGCTCTGACTCCCTGAGTTCTTCCTGAATACCTTCCATCCCCCCCACATGTGCTGTATAATCCCACGGGTTTAGCGCTCCCCCGTGATTATAATTATGTACATAATTACCTTAAGGGAGGCTTCTTGCCCCACTCTATCCTTACTCTTTCCTATATTCACTTTTAATTTTCTTCTTTTATATTCCCTACCAAACTCATTCACCAACCTCTGCAACTTCTCTTCAGAATCTCCCAAAAGCACAGTGTCATCAACAAGGAGTAACTGTGACAACTCCCACTTTGTGTTAGATTCTTTATCTATTAACTCCACACCTCTTGCCATCACCCGAGCATTCGCTTCTCTTACAACCCCATCTATAAATACAGTATATTGAACAACCATGGTGACATCACACATCCCTGTCTAAGGCCTGCTTTTACTGGGAAATAATCCCCCTCTCTCCTACATACTCTAACCTGATCCTCACTTTCCTCATAAAAACTCATCACTGCTTTCAACAACCTAGTTCCTATTCCATATATTTGCAAAAAAAAAATTTTATTTCATATAAAAAATCTCATTTTTGGTAAAACTTCCCTACCCACTGAACTTCTTACGTTTTTCTGCCTAAGACTTTTGGTAAGAGTTTTTATTGCATATTCCTGCCTTAATGGTTAGTCATGGAATTAAGAGGTACCAACTGGGATTGTATGAAAAATAACAGTGTGCATCTTTTGCTCTTTGTCACTTTATTAATATCAGTTTATATTTGCATTAGCATATGTTCACATTTTCATTACACCTTTTGTCAACAGGAAAACCGAGCCATTCATGAGTGAAGAGGAAGATGATTGGTTCTCTGCCGTTCCTGACGACTGGGAAAACGACAACAAAGATTGGAACATGAGCTTGTTGGAGCCAATCGTTCAAATATCAGATGAGAGTAACTCTAGGCAAGTAAGCAAGAGAAAACGAGGAAGTAGAGGATTTGGTAAAAAGAGGGGAGATCATTTATCAGGAAGTGAGGATCTTGACAGACAAAGTCCAGTTGATGAAGTACCAGTGAAGCAAGAAAAACCAGACAGTCCTGAGCACATGGTAGAAATTCCTCCAGACATGACAATGAACATGTTACCCAATGTGCCTGCATACCCCCCTTCCCTCCCCGTGTTTCCATTGGTGCCATCTATGCTGCCATTATACATGGCACAGCAACACACTGCATCAGGGCTCCAAGATGCAAATGGTCACAATGTTACCACAATCCATGACAATCCAATGCAGCCAGGTGAGGAAACTAGATATGCACATGATAATGTTGAGGCAAATATTAAACAAGAAATACCAGATTCAGAGAATCCAGATCAAGTAATAGCAATGCCATTTCAAAGTGAGCTTCGTAATGATGATTCCTGTTTAATGTCAAGAGATATGGTTCCTTCTCCTTTGTCAACAATGGAAGATTTCTCGGATCAAAGAGAAAGGAAAAAAAAGGAGCTGACTGCAAACATGGGTCATAAAAGTCTTAGAGAATTAACAAATTTGTTGGTTAAATTAAATAACAAGAATCTTCAGTGCGATGAAAGGATACAGATGCTAAAAGAAGAATATGACAGAAAGGTAGCAGTAATTGAAGCTGAGAAGAAAGCCAACGAAAAAGAGCTTGACAGTGTCTTGTCTCTCATTCAGAACTGGAAAGAGGGTTCCAAAGGTGAATCATCAGCAGGTAGTAAAAAGTCTCGTAAGAACACTGAGAAATAATTTATGATCATTGATATTTAAATTGTTTTTACTGACCTCATTATTAACCACACACTGTAAGGGTCCTAATTAAAAACTGCCATTTTATTTTGCACATTTTACATTCTTGGAAATTAACTTTTGTAATAAGTTTGGTTTTTATTTTCTAACCATTTACTTTAAATTGAAGTGGGCTGAGAGAACAATGTGTCAAGGATTGTTAAAATTGGTAAAGCTGTCAGAAAGTAATTATTTGTCTTTTTAATTACAGTATATTTTATTTTTCTAAGCTCTAAACAACTTCTTTCTATTCTCTAGTATGCAAGGGAGCTTCCCCTCGCTGTTCATTGAATACAGTCATAGCTCTTTGACTTGTATTTTTGTCTGTCTCCTGTTCTAATGCACTTAAGAAATGGTATTTAGAACATTATCCTCCTTGTTTATGCATCATTCCGTTATGCTTATTGCATACTTATGTAATTTAGTGATTTACTAGTAAAGAGCACACATTGAAACATGTTGGAAGATTTTTACCTGACTTTACATCCATGAACAGCTGTGAAATATTCATTCATTTATATTTTTTCTTCTATGTTGTATATTGTTTGGCACCAGACCAGCAGCTCATAGTTACCTGTGAAACACTTGTGGAGCAAATGTGAAGCATTCCCTTTCTTTCTAAATACATAATGCATCTAGTTTGAGAAAATTCCACTGCCTAAATAGAAGCTTGAGTAAGGAGTACATGCATAAATAATAATAAATTATTGATCTCTTACAGTCAATGGATAAACTGGGAAAGCTTTGTCTTTGGCTGTCTCTAAAGGGAAGATGTGTGGATTGTGGCATCAGATTAGAGCAGGCTTCTCACACCAGTGTTTTAAGTCTGTTAATTCTGTATCATCTGTCTCTTGCTCTTTTCATTACTTTTACTTATTGATAGTTCTTTGCTCCTGCTCTAGGTGCAGCATCATTACTTCTGGATTTACATTTCCTCAAACTGTATTGTCTTGTAACATATTTTCATTCTTTGAATTACCACTTTATTTTTCTAATTTGTCTGTGCTTTTAATAGTATTTCAATTCTGTATTGATTAGAGAATTTAACTTGTACAGTATCTATATGTATTACTATGCAAGTTCTTTCAAGTTTACAAAAACGCTCAAGCATATTTATCCCCTACCATTGTGAAACAAAGAATTAATTATTTTTTGAGTCATCAGGTGGGGTTCATTATCAAGTACAGGTATTTATATTCTCTCCCATCATATGTGAGGTCAGAGTTGGTGCAGTCTGGAAAAATCTTTTGTGCTCTTACATGTTTAGTTCTTTTTTTACTGTAATGTTATGATAATAATACTTTGTTCTGCACTGGGACCTCCGAAAGACTGCTGCTTTTAGATCTGACTCTTTATGTAGAACATCTTTCTTCGTTCCCATGCATGGTGTGGTAATGTAAGTTGTGATGTGTTAAGCAAACATTCTTAGAGTTGTTGGTTCTCCAAGTATACCTGTTTTCCATAACTCTCATGTCTAGGTCTTTGGAAATGTCACCAGTGTAAACTGCATTGTAAATTTCACAGTGAACTGTATAAAGATTCTCTATATGGTGTTTTATTTACATATTTGTAGTTGATACTGTTGAATAGTTTTTCCTGATTATACTGTTCTAACCTGCAGCATGAATGACTTCCACAGAATTAGTGACTTGTTTATTATTGGCCTTATGTTTGTAGTTTTTTGTTCAAACTATAGGTAACTACTTCATGTTTATGACTGCCAGCCCAATTTATAGAATGATTTACAAATGTTTAAGGTACTGTTTTGTCTACTAAAATTTGAATATATTTGAAATGTCTAGAAATTATTGTTCTTGCTGACATCTCACCAAGAAGGCAGAGTTCTCATATGGAGCTGTAAGTACATTTTTCATGCATATTCACAGTTTCTTCACCTGCTTACAAAAATCTAATAGTAATTGCAGTGACTTAGTCAAAACTTCAAGATGAAAGGATTGTCATAATGTAGGAAAAAATCTAAAGTTTTGTTTTCACATGGCTCGACATGTAGAATAATTTTTTTTTTAAATGACAAAGGATTAAGAACTCAGTTTATTTAAAAAAAAAAATTTGCATTCTGAATATATTTTATGGACAACAATATTGTAATTGATGGTCATATTTGGAACTATGGATTGATTTGTATTAGAATTATTTTTTAAATATTTTTCTCAGACATTGGTAATAGCCACTAATTGCATTGATGGTCTTTATTGGTGTGCCACTCTCTCAGTTAGGCATTTTCACATACTTCACTGCAGTTAGTATCTATCACCCACATGTCAGCAGTGCATTACCAGTTTGCAGTGTCTCATACCTACAGGATGTTTCAGAGGTACATATGAACTAGAAGGAAATATTTTTACACTTTAATCATTCATTATTCCAACTGAATACCATTAACAGTAATACATTAATTCTTAAGAGTACAAGTGGTTATTTTTTATTGAGATGAAAGCTAATCTGAGATAATGTATTGTGAGGGTTTTTTTCTATGCTGGGTCCTGATTTTGGGACACCCAGTGCAATACTGTCCACTGTCTTCTTAATATTTGTGTATATACAATACTTACAGTGATCATTATCACTGTAGGTATTGACTTGAAATTTACATATGATACTTCAGTTTTAGTTTTCTGTGGCCTTACCTTTTTTTCTGTCTCTCTTCTCTATCCCTCCTTCCCCACATTCCCTCACTGTCCTAATGAAACATATATTTGAGTTCAAAGCCCTGGTCACAGCTGTGAATGAACAGTTCTTGTTGCTCTTCCTGCAAGCGTGTATGTGACACGTGCAGCTTGTGGAATAGTATTTTTGTATGCTTTGTGGAACTGAGCTGTAAAAGCCGGCATTATGCAATAGAAAGTTAGTCATAGATGCTTATGACAGCGTTGATTATGTGAAATGATTGTAACAGCCAATTACTCCCATGCTGAATCATTGTGTTGTTAAATTTATTCTTCAATACACATTTTTAATTTACCTATTAATCTCTCTTATAGGAGATGGTATTAGGCAGAAGTTAGTTACTATTTTTTTTTTTTCAGTGTGAAGTATTTTAAACATTAATGTAGCCTACTGTATAAGTATTGCCAAAAATATTTTTAAAATGGAAGAGTACTGGCTTTCAATGTAGCCTACTGTATAAGTATTGCCAAAAATATTTTTAAAATGGAAGAGTACTGGCCTTTCTATTTTTCATTCATTTGATGATTGCTGTTTGCAACAGGCTGTCATATTTGTCCACCTTTGATTTAGAAAGACATCGTGAATTTTTATATAGCAGATCAGTACTGTAAGGTTAGGGGATTACATCAGTCTTTCTATTTATAATGAGCTATAGTGAAACTCATCTTATAATTAATGTTATTCAAGTGTCATTTTACTTTGTGACTGAATCTTCAAATATAGAGTAATATTCCTTAAATTGTTCTTGAGTTAGAATTTAAAAACTTTGGCATGCAAAACTTGGCAACTTTTGGGGGTTGTATCATTACACTTGACTGAGGATCTGAGGTTACCCATCCTCAGCACTTGCCAAACCCATTCCCTAAATCTTTTAACAAAATTTATTAGCTAATATGCAGCTGAAAGGATTGAACTGTCAGTATTATGTAATGTAAATGTATTGTATTTTGTAATGAAGACAGATTTATTTGGAAATATTACCCTTTAAATACCAGAAATTAAAGAAATCTCTACTTTTTAGAATATTTGATGATGGGTTTGCATATATTCATTGCTGCCTCCTGTTCATGTGATCATTTCTTAAAGTACTAAAATTTTTCATTTTTTATGTGGATGCATGAATAGTACCAATAAAAACATAAGCAAATGGCTATCCTTTTTTTGTTATTCCATTTTTCACATCAAAATACACCTACAATCCGACTTACGACCTGCTCCACATACGACAACTCGACTTACGACCGTGTTTTTTATGCCAAATTTCTGGGAAATAAACAAGTGTTTGTGTTGTACACAGTGTTTATTCTAAACCTTACAGTATAAAATACAGTACTAACAGCATAAAAAGTATAAAGTAAAACATGAAATACCAAAATAAAACAATAAAATAAAGTCATTACAAAAATGTGATGTTGATATTCAGTAGTAAAGTTCGACTTACGTCCATTTCGATTTACGACCGGTTTCTCGGAACCGAACTCGGTCGTAAGTCAGATGGTAGGTGTATTTGGTCTCTGTGGGCAGCCACAAAGGCATGTGGACCATAAACAATGCTGAATTACTTGCACAAGTTAAGTACATACTTTTGCGAATGAGTATTATATTCACAGATAAGAGGTAAACCTGTAAGGGCTAACATGAATGGTGTAAATGTAATATGGTCAGCCATTATTTTCAAGGTGGTACCTCTTCAAGGGGGGCTTCCTGGCACAGTGAAGAGGCTCTTGATCTGAGGAATTAGACCTTTTGGTGTCCTTCCTTAGACTGAACATAATTACCCCCTAATCTCCCCTTCCCTATCCTATCTTCCCCATCCCCCCTTTCCTTCCCTGCTTCCCCATCCCTCCCTTTTCCCCATCTCATTTGTAGCCTCTGGAGTCCTCCCCTCTGGCATCATGGTTTCTAGGTAGGGGGAAGGGTACCGGAGTTCATCCCACTCCATGGGGTTCCTTGGGAGTGGTGTAGTTTGCCGTGGAATCTGGATCATCTGGAGGTGCCCTGCTCCCTTCCTGAATTTCCAAGAGGTGGGGTGGGGTGTCCTGCAGGTGACAGGTGTATCTCCAGAGGTTGCCTGTCAATTCTGGGAGGTGGCAGCTGAAGGAGGTATGCTTTGTGGTGGGTACCCAACTGCCCTCTCTTGTCCACCGAGGTGGCTCGGTAGATGTGAGGTTGCTATCCTGGAGCGCTGGTTTACTGGCATCAAGGGTAGGGTATGGCACGGGTTCCATGCTGCATCTGCACTGCTGGTGGTCTCGAGACCCTCTTGGATGAGAGGGGGAACTTACGGCCCTTTCATGCCTTCTAGTAACTGTCCCTCTGCTGTCCCTCTTCTTTTTATTTTCTTTAAAATAATAATAAGAAAAGTACCATCATCATGGAATCTTTGTTCCATGACGACCCCCCTCCTCCCAGGCCCCTTTTTGTTACCGCATCCTGTTCTGACCAGGCTTCATTATTGGTCCATTCTCCAGACTTTTCCCATACCCCTGTACCTCCCGCTGGTGACACTTTTTCACCTGCTCCAGGTGCTAAGGCTCCACCCACTTTTTCAAGTGCCTCTGCCTCTTGCACATCTTTAACTATGCGAGCTGTATAGCCATTGTGGCTTAGCGCTTTTTTTTTTATTATAATAATTTAACTATGCGTCTGGCTTCCCCAAATACAATGCAACAGTTTTCGGATCACCCACCTGCCCCAGGTCAGGCCGCCCGTGGTACTATGCCTAAAAGTTCCAGACCATTTGCTTATGACAGTTCTTCGATTTCTGCTCATTCCGCCCGAAACGACCTACATGACACCCACTTCCTTTACACACCATGTTTACAAGTACACAGTGGACCGAATTCATTTCCCTACAACCATCTCCAACTGATTATCTTTCAGATCACAGTACAGTGAACCCCCGACTTACGATGGCCTCAGCGTACAATAAAACCGACTTACGATATTTGTCAGCGTAAAAATTTGACCCTGACCTACGTTGAAAAGCTCGACTTACATCATTTGTCCCGAAAGCAGCCGTCTGGTCTGTCTGGCCTGAGCACCTCAGCTGAGCTAGTGTGACATGGTTTACAAGGTTTACAAGCCAGGGCAGAGGGTTGCATGCATACATTCGGTATATTTTGTATTCCAGGGTTTTTAGTGCTTGTAACTGCTAAATAAGCCACCATGGGCCCAAAGAAATCTAGTGCCAACCCTGTGGTAAAAAGGGGTGAGAAATACTATCGTACCACGGTCAGCTGTACTACTCGAAGATGTGGAGAGACTGTTGGTGAGGCTTATCGAGAATACCGAGAAACAATTAACCCCAGAGGGTTAGCCTCCCAGGATAACCCAAAGAGTCAGTGTGTCATCGAGGACTCTAACTTATTTCCATTGGGGTCCTTAATCTTGTCGCCCAGAATGCGACCCATACCAGTCGACTAACACTCAGGGTGAACAGGAAAAAATGCCTGGAACTAGTGCTCATATTGGTGAATTTAAGGCCAACAAAGGTTGGTTTGAGAGATTTAAGAATCGTAGTGGCATACATAGTGTAATAAGGCCTATTCTGGAAGAAAAGGCCAAACAGGACCTACATTACTCAGGAGGAAAAGGCACTCCCAGGACACAGTCTCATCACTCATCACATAAGAACATAAGAAAGGAGGAACACTGAAACAGGCCTGTTGGCCCATTCTAGGCAGGTCCTTCACAATCCATCCCACTAACAAAATATTTGCCCAATCCAATTTTCATTGCTACCCAAGATATAAGCTTTGATAATTTTATTTACCCATGTGCAAGTCCCACTCAAATCCAACCCCTTTCACTCATGTAATCCCCTCAAGGAAGGTTCCTTGATGTTGGTGAGGGGCTCTTGATTTAGGGAATTGGATCTGTGCTCCAGTTCCCCGAATTAAGCCTGAATGCCTTCCACATCCCCCCCCCCCAGGCGCTGTATAATCCTCCGGGTTTAGCGCTTCCCCCTTGATTATAATAATAATAATCACTCATGTAATTATCCAACTTAAATTTGAAACTACCCAAGGTTTTAGCCTCGATAACCCTACTAGGCAGGATGTTCCACTCATCAACTACCCTATTTCCAAGCCAATACTTTCCTGTATCTTTTCTAAATCTAAACTTTTTTAATTTGAATCCATTACTGCAGGTTCTCTCTTGGAGAAATATCCTCAAGACCTTATTTATATCCCCTTTATTGATACCCATCTTCCACTTACACACTTCGATCATATCTCCCCTCATTTTTCGTCTAACAAGTGAATGTAACTTAAGGGCCTTCAATCTTTCTTCATAAGGAAGATTTCTAATGCTATGTATTAATTTAGTCATTCTATGCTGAATGTTTTCTAATGAATTTTTGTCCATTTTGTAATATGGGGACCAGAACTAAGCTGCATAATCTAGGTGAGGCCTTACTAATGATGTATTGCAGGGGTTCTTAAAAGGAGATATCGAGGGTTGAAGGTAGACACACTTGTTGGATGATAACAATATATTGTCAGACTGTGGTAATGGGAGATGGAGCCCAGCCTTGCCGTGTTCTAGCCTGGATGTCTATGCGCCGACTGAGAAGGAGGCAGAGGTACGAACGTACACATGCGCATCCCGTGACGTCACACAAACAGTCACAGGCCTAAAAGGGATCTTCTATATAAACACATGGATGGTACTATGATAAGCTATACAACACATATAAGGGGATCAGCAACTATGCTGACAGCTCGGTCATGTTACGTATGTCGTCTCGACATACACTACTATCCTATAGGCTGAACAGGCAGGTGGTTCTGGGCTGATTCTATACAATAATAAATTCATATATAACTTAGAACTAATGGATGGTATCATAATGGATGTTAAAATGAGTTTTACGTAATGGGCGTTAACGTAATCACTTTTAACGTAATGAGTTTTAACGTAATGCATTACAAACTATAAGAACAAATCATTGTACAATATGGATGGAATTGATCGATCGATCTGTATTCATGCAATCTACGGATTCTGAGGAAGAATAAATATATATACAGTGGACCCCCGCATAACGATCACCTCCCAATGCGACCAATTATGTAAGTGTATTTATGTAAGTGCGTTTGTACGTGTATGTTTGAGGGTCTGAAATGGACTAATCTACTTCACAATATTCCTTATGGGAACAAATTCGGTCAGTACTGGCACCTGAACATACTTCTGGAATGAAAAAATATCGTTAACCGGGGGTCCACTGTATATACAAGGTGAAATTAACAGCAAAGGCATCTGGTGCACACTCAGATCATTACTGTCAAATTCTCAGAATACGGAGAGAACGTGAATACGAAAAATTTTTTTTTTGAAAAACTAATCAGTTAATAACAAACAGTTGACAATTTACTTTATCTCGGACATCTAGTTATACAGACTATGCACATTTAAACCCAATTCCTCGAGGGTGAGGTTTACATATGCAGAATGGTTATCATCTCTGGGAGGATCGAATTCCTCTGCAATGGCTAACACATGCCTTGACTGAGGGAGATTTGAACGAGTATCTACAAAAGATACTTGTGGGTTTCTCATTACTTGTCGAGTATGCAGGGAGTAACGACATTCAGGTTAATTATCTGAGTATCTGAGGTAGAGGGTACAGAGTCAAGAGGATTTTCAGCATCTGTCCCCTCAAGGAAGGTTCCTTGATGTTGGTGAGGGGCTCTTGATTTAGGGAATTGGATCTGTGCTCCAGTTCCCCGAATTAAGCCTGAATGCCTTCCACATCCCCCCCCCAGGCGCTGTATAATCCTCCGGGTTTAGCGCTTCCCCCTTGATTATAATAATAATAATCAGCATCTGTCACATTAGTCTGGGTAGCAATATCATCAACATCACATACTAATTTCATATGATCTAAATGCGATTCTTTGTACTTGCCAGTACTAATTTCTCTAAGCTTATACTTATTGCCAAAGATATGTTCTACAACTCGATAAGCGCCAACAAACTCTTGATCGAGCTTAGGCATTGCGGATGTTTTGTTGAAATTTGTCAGCATTACTCTCGAACCTACTTTGACTTTTGATGGCTTAGCACGGCTATTAGTTACTCTAGTAAATTCTGCTGTTGATTTATGATGTGTTTCACAGATTCTTCTAAAAACACTGAGCCA